TAGATTCTAGTAAAGCATTGATTAATGCCTGATTTTAAAATTAGTTAACTGGACTTGTAGACATTATTTTGTGCCCAGGTGGCTGGACATCACACGGCACGATCGAACCGTTATACCTAGGATTTCTGTCGGCTAATGTGTCTCTCAGGTTTTGAAAATGGGCCGACAGTCGGCCGACAACTCGTGTAGTGTGCGCTGGACATTACACTAAGGAAATGAGGAATGGAGGGTCAGTGAAGAGCACCGGAGCTGAGCCTTTTTTCATTCAGTGTCATCAAGAGAAAGAAGAAAAGGCAGGAAGAGACGATAAAGCCGATAATTAAAATGAGGTCGATAGGTTTAATTTATCGTGCGATTAATTGATTTATCGTTTATCGCGTCAGGCCTACCATCAACTTAATGAGTTACACCGCAAAGACAGGAGGAACAAGAGAGGAACCGACCAGGCTTTCACTGAAGTCTGTCAAATTTTCTTAGCCTCCTAATAGATACAAATTATTAGTTTAAACTAAAGAGTTATAATAAAGGTTGCAGTTTTGAATAAAACAGAAAACGAAGGTGTTGCAGAATTACCCGTATGTGTGTAGACTAGTTTACAGACCAAGAACGAAAATAAAAATTGGGAGTTATTAGTTTTTACACCATCTCATAATCGAAAAAAAAAAATCATCAGGAATCTAGCCAACTTCTAGTTTTGATTACCTCATATTTATTTCAACATTTAAATTATTTGAGGTTACGTTACTATTTTTTTCCTAAGGAGTTTCATTTTGTTTTTCTGTGAAACTAGAAGAATCCTGTGGTTTTAAATGTTGCTCTTATGTCCTTTTTATATTACAGTTCTTAAAGATCACTGAGAATAAAAAGGTCAGAGCTTTACCATAACTGGAAATCATAATTTGTCGACAAAGTTATGAAAAAGTAAATGTTGATATACTGTAGAGATGTGGACCAGTTATTTTTTTTTTACCTGTAGTTTTATAATGAAAAGCTTCACAAATGCCTTTCAATGTTTCAAAGTCTTCAAGATAATAAACACACAAACTAGACATCATCATAATTGCCTTTTTCAAGACAAACAGCGACGGAAGATGGAGCCCAAAGCAGCAAAAAATCCCCCCCGCCCCCCAAAAAACCAAAGGCGTCGACTTCTCACCACACCGAAGGACTCGGTGTGGTCACAGTAGATTTCTGAAGGTGTCCAGTTTCACATACATCACAAAAGGTAGCGACAGCAGAGCAGATTTATGCCTGTGTGGCTGATACTTGAGATAACCCATCCAGTAAGGTAAAAATAACTCATCTGCTCTACGCTTGCTGGTTCTTGGAGAGCCCAGGACGCAAAGCTAAAGACACGTGGACAGTGAAACGTCCAAGATGTGGACAGGAACTAGGAAGAACAGGGTGGTGTGTATAATTTAAGCTGGAATGCAGGTGATAAACGTCCTCCCAGATGGTTCAGTCAACAAACAAACTGTTTATTTCCAGGAGATTCCCGTTTTTAGGATTATTAAATAAGGAGGTATGGTCCGATAGAAACTATGCAAATTTCTTTCTACATAAACTTTTATCCCAAGACACTGTGAGTTGTAAAATAATTCATACTTTTCACACTTTTTCACAAATTACAGAGACAAAATGTCATGTTTTTTTTGTTTTTGTTGGGATATGATGCAACGTAGTTTGTGGTGAAGTGGAAGGAAAATAATAAAAGTTTGTTGCTCTTTGAATGGGAAAGGTTCACATAAAATCTCAAGAAAATACATTCGAGTTTGTGTGGATGTGGGATCCCACTGATCCGGTGCGTTTTTACCACATTTTTTTTTTTAATATATTTGTTTGGTTTTGGAAATTGGTGGTCTGATGGGGAAAACCCTCCGCTTCCTCGCTGTCCCATTGTGACATTTTTTTTGCGCTGCTCTTGAGGCTTATATATCCAAATTAAAAGTCTGCAACCAAAAATAAAAAATAAAAAGGAACAAAAACCAACAAAAACTATACATAACATGGATTACAAGGTCCCTGTAACAAAAACTGCCCTTCAAAAAATATCAACGACCAGAATATAAATGATCAAGCTCATAATAATGTGATTAATTAATTGCTTATTGTGACAGACGTACGTTCAAGTGAAAGCAAAGCTCTGTATTCAATAGGAGCAGATATTAATTGTTAAAAACTCCTTACCTTATGAAGACAGGTGTCCACCACCGAGTTACAGATCTTTTCCAGATCTTCACAAACCAATAATCGTGATCGTACAAAATCACACAGCTCTTCGTTGGACATGACGTCCCAGATTCCGTCGCACGCCAGAACCACAAACTCGTCTCCTTCGGCCGCCCGCTCCAACACGCAAACCTCCGGCTCCGGGCTCACCAGCTGCTCCGTGGGGCCCTTACCATCCACACATTTGTAGTCGTAGTCCCCGAGAGCCCGCGACACCGCCAGGGAGCCGTTTACCCTCTGGATCATGACCGAGCCGCCAGCATTCTGGATGCGCTCCTTTTCGCGGGGGTTGCAGGGCTTGTGGTCCTGAGTGGAGAAGCCCACCTTTCCGTCTCGACACAGCACGGCCCGCGAGTCGCCGCAGTTAATGAAGTAGAGGTGAGTGGGGCTGAGCAGCACGCACACGGCTGTCGACCCGCTGCGGTCCAGGCCCTGCCGCAGGTCGGAGAAGTTGCGCATGTATTCGTCAATGTTCAGAAAGCCCGAGCGGATCCCGTCCTTCACGCCCTCCACGGAGCCCGGCCCCGATCCAAACTCGGCGCCTCCTGACAGGATGTGCTCCAGCAGGTGCCCGGAGCAGTAGTTGGCGACCCGCGAGCCGGCGTGGCCGTCGTAAACGGCGAAGAAAGACCAGTCGGTGAGTCCGTGGGGAAGGCCCACCACCGCCGTGTGGGCGTCCTCCATTTCCACCCGCCAGCCTTGCATGGAGCTCAGACCGTAGCGCAGCCCGTTTCCGTCGCCGTGGGCACTGTGCTTCTCCGTCTTCGGCTTGTCCAGGAACGCACCCATCGCTGCCTACAATTGGAGAACAGAGGAAAAACGGTGAGGAAAACTTTTATACGATCGCCTGCAAAGACATGATTTTAAAATCCGAGTCAGTTTCACCAAAACACCGTTGTACCGTAAACATACATGTACAAAGCGATTATTTTAGCTATAGATTATTCTGATGAACTGATTTAAAAATTAGCACATTCTGCACATTTTTCTTTTACAAACTCTTTATATAATGTTTGAAAAAGATTATGCAAACAAATAATTTAAGTCCTTTCTGTAAAAAAAAGAAAAAAAAAAAAAGAAAGTAAACGTTTTATTGCCAGAAATAATAAAGCATTCCTTTCATGTACGCTTGATTAATTGCAGCAAAGGATGAATCTGCAGCTACAAAAATACTTCCGACATCAACAAGTGGAAAGCTCGGCCTTTTCTGCTTGACTTAACATCAATACAGTGTTAAGTGCATTGATTATGTTTTGGATTATTGGCTAGCAAGAGGAGATATATTTTTTATTTTTTTTTATTTTACATAATTTGCACCTAGTGAAGCTGAAACTGCCACTACTGTTTTGGGTATAAAACAGACAAAGGTTGTTTTTTTTTGTTGTTTTTTTTTTTTTATTATTATTATTTTTTTTTATCTTAAATCAAAAATATGTATATCTTTTGTGCAGCTTTGGCTTAACTGCTGTACTTTCAGCAAATGGCCAAGTCTGTGTACTCCCGTTAGTTGATTATGAAACAATTATCGATTCATCACAACTAATTCAATGAATTCTTTCAGCCCTACACTTGATTTTTGAGTCCAATATCAAGTAGATTTGTGCTTCAGTGAATTTCATGCATTGTTCTTATCCTAAATGCTGCTCCTTCCACGTCTGAACATCATAGAAACAAATCTTTCTGCACAGAACTGTCTAAACTGCATAAAATTATTTACAATCCACAAATTTTTATCCTTTAAATCATGCCTGCTTAGAGATTTATATAAATTTTTTTGCATTCTTAAATCACTCAATAGGAGTGGCTTTCTGAAGAACATCCCAGATTTTGTCTATACACCTTGTGTCCTGTTCTCTGTCAAAATGATCGCTCTCCGCTTCTACAATGTGGATTTCTGGGCTCGGGTAATGCAGATTCATGACTGGAAATGTTTCCACTGCGTGTTTTATTGTCCAGGTATGTGTTTTATATAATCATCTCTATGGTAAAAAAAGAAAAAAAAAAGAAAAAGAAAAAAGAGAGACTTTCCAAATGGCTTCTCAGCTATTACTTGAGGCAACTTCAGGGTTTATAAAAACTTAATTACAGCAGTGTTCATAAACATAATGTGCTTAATTAATAAAGTTTTGTGATGACTTTTTAAGATTTCTACAAAAAACAAAAACTCCTTAAAAAGTTATCACTACTTTGACAACTTTGTTGTAAACAAACTTTCAAACAAATATGATTTCTTGGTTTTCTATTTTGATACATTTCCACACCGTCATACATTTGTGTGTAGAATTTTTAGGAAAAAAGTCAATTTATACAATTTGGATTAAGGCTGTAAAAATGTGGAAAAGGGGAAGTGCTATGAATACTTTCCAGATGAACTGTGGACAGAAGCAGTGATCCTGGCAGCGCTGGAGCCGACCTGGAGCACCAGAGGCCCAGAACTACAATCACACCAAGCAAGAAGCTGCAAAGGGGCCCCTTTTGAATTTGGAAATCGCCTCCGTCTCTACAGATAAATTAAAAACGCTGCTGAGAACGTTTGAAACAGACAGAGGGGAGCACAGAAAGACACCTCTCTCTGAAACCAGCCTGAGACCAGATTTCTAAAACTAAATGTTAATAAAAGTCTGCCTGAACAAAACAACCGTCTAAATCCCTCTATTTGGGGTTTGTGTGACGATTTACAGCACCTGTATCAAACTCAAGGCCCGGAGACCAAATCTGGCCCGCTGTAGCTTTCTACGTGGCTCCAAAATTACATCAATAAGTCTCTTCCAGTTTTTCACAAATCTGCAAAATTCACACAAAATCAACAAATCTCCAAATTTTTTTCCTGATTTTACTGCAAATTTTCTCAAAACAAGTAATAAAAAGTTACACTCAACATCATACATTAGCGCAAATATTGTAAAAATTCCTAACATTTCTAAATTGGTAGCACAAAATCTATAATTTTGATCCCAAGGAACACTAAAACGATCAAAATCATGGAAGAACAGCTATTTATTGATAGTTTATAATTGGTTTTGTCAATATATTCTGGCACAACCGCCCCTTTAAGAACATTCAGATTTTTTATTTTGGACTCATTGTCCAAAATGACAATGAGTTTGATGCCCCTAATTTATAGAAACATTTGAAAAACACTACACCACCAAATAAACATGTCTTTTTACATAAGCACAACTTCATTCAACTGTCTGGACATGGTAGCAATGATAAAAAATGTGTATATATTTTTTTGTTTGTTTTTGACCAGCAAGTTAAAAGTGAGAGTTTATCAGGCTGAAAACTGTCTACGGCAGCACAATATTAGAAGCTTTTGCGATGGTGAAAATATCGTTAAATATTCCAATGAGGACATCAGATGTGATTTGAGGCTTTTTCTCTGTTTCTAATGAGATTTGTGTTTATTGTGAGCATCTGCTGCCATGAGGCTCCATCCAACCGGATGAATATTACAATAGTATGCAAGTCTGTGATACATGGAAGATACTAGCTAACAATTATTGCTCTCTAAACAGTCCTTTGCAATATGAATATTACAAACACTAGTAATGGGATGTATATATATCCATTATATAATCTGGATTTTAATGCCAGGTGTGAACAGTTGGGCTTAAATATGTCCTGTTGTATCTAAATTGTATTAAATAAATGTATTCACATCTGAAAAAAACAAAAACAACTAAAAGCTAATTTCATACTTTTGGCGAAACAACAGTAATAACATCACAATATTAACAACAACAACAAAAAAAAAACAATGTTAACAAATCTGAAGAAGATTCAGAATTTTTTATTCTAAAAATGGGAATCAAATAAATATGCAGATTATGTGATTGAGTTTGTGGGTTTGAATCCAGAAGAAAATTAAACAATCACAAGATAACTTAATTTAGCTTCAAAGCATTAAGCTATTTTCTTACAGAAGTAAAAATATAAAATGTATTCCTCCTGATCACAATCAAAGTGAATTTGTGGCAAACTGAAGAATGGTCCAATACAATTTACTATCCAGTAAGAATGCTAATAAAATGTTAGGCTTGAAAAATAACCAAATAAGCAATCAGGGTTTTTGGCATCTCTTGTTACCAATTGGTAAAAATATTTTGTGTTTTATGCAGAAGAAGTAAGAGTTCTTGCTTGGCAATACTAAGACCAGGAAGTCTATAAAAAAGCATGATAATAATAACAAAAACAATAATCAAACCGCCCTGATTCTTCACAGAGCTTCACTTCCCACATGAGCATGACTGCGCCATGACAAGCGTGTGCCCAAAAAAGGCCGTTACATGCAGGGAGTGACTCCGGCTGCTTTCTCAGGACGCCGAGTGTCCTGAGAAAGCAGGACACTCGGCTTTGTGTGCGTCTGTGCATGTGTGCACCGTCACGGTCTGTGTGCGAGAAAAAGATGCTCTATAAATACGGCAGGTCGGCTTACATTTCACGACCAGCGTGAGACAGCAGGGACGGGCCATTCATACTTCTGCCGCCTTCCTGTCGCACGGTTATAGAAAGAAAGAAAAAAAGTGTATTCTCAGGCTCGCCGTTTGATGTTGCCCCAAGTTTTTAGTGTCGTTTAGTAAATGTGGAGCTGCTCTCACGTGCAACGTATGAGAGAAAGACAATTCTGTAACATTGACCAGCTGTGATTCGCTCTAAAAATAAAACAAACACACTGCCACTGCCTAGCAACCGCCCACCCTACAGTGCAAACATCCAGCCTGAGCTTCATTCAGCAACACCCCCTCCCCACCCTTCTTTCTCCCAAAAGTCTCTCTCTCACACTCCTAAAAAGAGGCGCGCACACTCAGCTGCTGGTTAGCGAGAGGAGCGGGTCGTTGCATCATCCGTCCGTTAAAGCAGTTGCAGCCGACAGAACCAGAAAGGTGTCAGGCTGGCTGCTAAAGACACACAGATACTGTGAGGTTTCACTGGCTGCTCACAATACCTTTAGAGCGAGGGGAAATCATGTGAACAGACATGTACAAAGACAGAAACCCCAGAAAACACCAGAGGAGAACGAGGAAGGCTCAGTCACTGCTGTCACCAGTGTTGCAACCGCAGGCCGAAACCAACACCAACGAGCAAAACTCGCATCCGCCAAAAAAAGCATTTCAAGAGAGAAGCGGAACGTCACAGATTACATAATGCTGCAGAGGATCCAAACGCTGCTCAGAAAATACGAGCCGTCGCTCTAAACTAGCTAAAGCAAACCTGGAAGAAAAGGCTGAACGACAGTCGTCTACACACTGAGAGAACAGAGCCAATAAGCTGACATTTAAAACAAATTAATGCCAAATTTTAGAATAAAAAAAAGGCCACAATTTACTTCTAATAGTTTTCGACATTGTAGGTTTTTCGGTACATTTTTGTACAATAAGCTGGTGACAAAAAAAGAGCACATCAAACAGATTTGCAGGGCATTTTTAAAATGTGAAATATGCACAAACTGATGCACAAAGCAGAGTTTTGGGGGATAATTATTCATCTCTGGTTTACTAGGGATGCACCAATATGAAAATTTGAGCCAATATCAATTTCCAATATTAATATTTCTGTTATGGCCAATAACCGATATTTCAAATATTTTTCTACCATTTTTACGTCAGATGTAAGTCACTGATTAATGAGTGATCTCACCAATCAATTAAGAATTAATTGATGAGCAGCCATTTTTATTACATTACCATTTTATTTTGGAAAAACAATCAAATTATTTGTTTTAATCTCTCCCTCCCCAAGACACATTAGGTTTAAGGTCTTAAATTCAATATTTTTGACTAAAATATCCAACAAAAAAA